TGGAAGGAAACGTGATTTGATTAACAGAATGGCTATTTGTTACGAAGCGACAGGATTATTAGCGCTGGGTTATTATCGTAAGGTCTCGCGTAACGATCGACAATTTATTATTGCCTAATCGACAAAAATTAATCGGTACGGGAGAAAAGTATTTTATATAAAAATTCGCGTTTGAAGAATATGCATTCTTTGGTGAGATTGGAGGTGAAGAAAACAAAAAGAAAAAAAGCCGAAAGGATGTGTTTGTGAACGCGGGCAAGGCGAGCGGCGACTACTTTTTAACTTGTCTCGGAAATAATAATAATGCGGGTATTTGAATGGGACATTCTTGTTCAGCAAATATTTCGCGCGATATTTTGCGAGATTCAAAATTGCGCGAGGTGGCAGGCGAGTTTCAGAATGCATTGAGAATCTTCTCTCGCGAATGATGAAATTCAGGCATTTTTGAAAATCAAGGAGTTTTGCTTTTGTGCTGCAATTGTCATTGTCTTTGTCTTTGTCTCTGTCCATGTACTTTGTGCATTTGGAACGCTCTGTTATTTGCGTAATCAATTTGTTGTTTACGCGAGGAGCTAATCTTCCTTCATCCCTTTCGTCATTATTTCTTTTTGTTTTTGTTTTTTAAAAATTTTTTTTATGCAATTATTTGTTAGAGTGCCATCGTTGCCCATTAGTCATACGACATACTTATAATGTTAATGGAGATGACGTTGTAAAGTTGTTGAAAGTTTGACGTAATCGAATCTAAAATTAAACTGGACTTTAGGGAAATCCGATTTGGGGGGAAAACACGAATGTGGACTAAATTGATTTAAAAGATGGCTAAACGATTATGGAGTAACGTGAATTTCGCTTATTTTTCCTTATCCAAGGAATTTGAAATAACTTGTAAGGCTTGAGTGGAGAATAATTTTAAATCGCTCGCGTCTATAGAGTTTTAAATACTCTTAGGATTAAAATTTGTTGCCGAATGTAAAATATTTATGCCATATAAATAATATAAAAATACTATGCCTTAAGTTTACGAGAGAGTGATCATTCGAACGCGTAGACGTCTGTACGCAACTATTGCACTATTTATAAATTAATGGTTTGAGCGACATTGAGACGATTGATGGGACGTAAATATGCCCCCGAGAAAAGGAAGGCCCAAACGATATATTTTCAATAAATTTAAAATTTCATTAAAACGACGTGTTAGTTGCGCAAACTTTTAAGCTAAAAGAATTATCGCGTAGTTGATGAATCGTTAAATTATCGATTCAATTATTGTTACGGAATCTTATCGTACGCGATGTACGAAGAGAAATTCTTAAAATTACTTTTTATTTAACGATTGCTTTAACGCTCGTTCGCCTTTGTTATTTATTGTTCAAACTTTAGAGTATTGTAATTTGTAGAGAACGATGGAAAATGTGAAGGGAAATATCAAACATCGAGTGCCACGTAACTTTTTCACAACATGGAAAAT